TAATAAAGTGGCCAGATAGAAGAAGAAGAAGAAGAAGAAAAAAAGTAATATTCTTCAACAACAACAACAACAACAAGAAAGAAAAATCTTTTCACTTCAAAAATGAATACGGAAAAAAAAGAGTAAAAGAGAATTCAGTGAGAGCAAAAAAAATCATATTTTCCTTGTTATTATGTTTTCTGAAGTAATGAAAAAGTAAAAAAAAAGAAAAATGTCAAATGAAATAATTGACGACAAAGAAAATGTCAATAATATAAATGTCAAGAAGGAGAAAAAAAATCAACCACCAACAACCCAGTCGAGCGAGAAAAGAAACTTATTTTCATAATAATGATGATTGGAGTGAAAAAAAACAAGAAACATCATTGAGACCAAAGAGTTGATTATTGGATGTCAGGGATTCGTTTTTTTTGTGGGGTGTTAATTGAAACTTTCTGGTGTGAAATATGTGCTTTTTCGTTCTTCCAAAACACCTTTGATTTTTTTTCTGTGGTCATAACATGTGTGAGAGGAAAAAAATCACCGAAACATTCGGTAAACAACAGCAGAAAAATACCGTTTTTTGTAAACCGTCACATTGAAAAGCTTTTTGGTCAACAAATTCAACATTCAATTTCAATTTGGAAAACAGAAAATCTAAACTTGTTTACCTTGTTGGACCTTACTATATATCCCATTTTCCAGCGAATTGTCTTTTTTTCTATTGAAATTTTTTGTTTGTTTGTTCCTGTTTCATGGAAGAAATAATCAGGACGAAAAAAACTCTTGAAATTTTAATTAAATTATCATGATTTGTTTGATGTGTGTGTGGGTGGTGAATACTAAAAACGTGATTAAAATTCAATATTCAAATGCAGGAAGCAAAGAATCATATTCTGATTAAAATTGGCAAATTCCGAAATGGTTTTTTCCCTGTAAAATGCTTTTTTTGAAATAAACAAAAACAAAAAACTTTGCTTTGCATCTAAACATTCTGTTGATAAACCATGAAAACAAACCAAAAGACATTGAAAAGAAAGCCAGAAAATCAAATGTTATTTTTTTTTCCTTCATTCACTCAACACCAAGTGGCAAAAAAAGAAAATTGGACATAATTATTCTATGAAAGAAGGAAGGAAAAATGAGAAAAATTCATAGCCAAAAAGAAAAAAAAAGAAAGAAAGAATGGACTTTATAAGATAAAATGAAATGTGATCGAAATATAATAATAATAATAATCATTATCATCATCCTAATAATAATGATGATGATGATGTGTAATATTGAGAGCGAGAGAGGGAGAGAGAGAAAGTAAATCATATTTAAGTCACATATCTTCAAAGAATATTCTTTGAAAAAAGACCAGCAAAGTGCGAAAAAAAAGAAGAAAAAAAGAAAATTTCAAAAGATAAAAGAATAAATGAATGAAAATTCTCATTTTGAATAATAATGATGATGATGATGATGAACAGAAATAAATAAAATTAATATATATTTTGTAAATTGTGATTAAACGAATTACAATAATAATAATAATGGTTATAATAATAATGTGATGTAAATAAAAAAAAGAATAATGGAAAAGAATTATAAAAGCAAAGCTTTATGGCTCTCTTGACTATAGATTACTGTTATTATTATTATCGATATCCAAAAGGGATTATTGTTCATCAAATGATGATAATGATGTGAATATGATGTGAGAGATTCTCATCAAAAAAATTTTCATTCATTATAAATGTGGTTATTTTTTTTTGAAAAAAGAAAACCAAAAATGATAATGGCAGGAGTGAAAAAAACAACATTTATTTAAATGAAATTTCCATGTTTTTTTTCTTGTTTTTCAATGATTTTTCCAATCCAAAAAATCCGCCATAAAATTATATTGATCATAAAAATTGCCTTTTTTTATTGAATAATATCCATTCACAAAGGATAGATTTCAACACTTTTGAAATAAAAAAAAAATTCTTGGTTTTTTTCTGCCATTATCCAATATCGACAGATAATTAAAATTAAAGGGAGTGAATAAAAATCATCACCATAATCATCAGATTTTAGTCAAGTGAGAAAAGAAAGAAAGAAAGAAAGAAGAAAAATTCACCATAAGCACTCAATCTTTTTTTTTTCTTAAATCACAAGAGAAACCGAACCATTATAAAAGCCAGAAACAAAACAAAAAAAAAGGATAGGATCCAAAAACTGATAATCAAATTGAAGTAAAAGTGAATGGAAAAAAGAGAGACAAAGTCCATTATTAATTTAGTATTATTTACAACAGACAACAGACGTCGAAGACCTAAAAAGAATGAAGAAAAATTCCGACTAAAGTCATTTTCAAGAATCTTAGAAGAACCAAAAACAAAACAAAAATTGCTTTTAGAAGAAGAAAAAAAATTGGTTCATCATTGAACAAAGCTACTTAGCTATTCAAAAAAAAAAGTTTGAATAAGAATTCAGCAACTTTATGGGAGTTTGAAAACACACAAAAAAAGATTATTCAAACTGGACATTCATTCATTATTATTGAATGCTTTTCACTGTTTTCATCAGAATATTTTTCCACTATTTTCATTTTTAAACCTGGCCAAAAAAAAAACCTGTATTCATATCATGAAATTGATTAGTTTTTTATCTTTTTTTTTCCCACTCACACAAACTGTTTATAATTTATCAAATGTCAAACGTTGTTGTTGTTGTTTATATGAAAACAAAAAAACGATTATCATTTGAATCAATTTAAAAGAATGAAAGAATAAAAACAACTAAACAAAACTGTAATTAAAACGAAAGAATACTGTGCTTGTTGACAACCACAGGTATATCGGTTAATGATTTTGTTGTTGTTGTTGTTGTTTCCTGATTTTTCTTTTGTTTTTTTGCGAAAAAAATTTATGATAAGTTTACCTTGGTGCTGATATTAAAACTAAACCAAAGAATTGTGTGTAGTCTCTCTCTCACTCTCTCATAATATGGTTAATCTTCTTCTTCTTTTTGGAAAATGTTTATTTCTGAAAAAATGAATATTTGGTCAACTTTTTTTACATAGATTATCATCATCATTGTCGTCATAAAAAAAACCATCATAAAAATCATCAAGGTCGCCAGATTCAAAATCAATTTATCACCAAAAAAAGGATAACTACAAACGAGTTCACACATTTTTCCTGAACAAACATTTTACTTGATGATGATGAATAATTAGTTTTTGAAAAGGAAAAAAAAATTCTATTCATTTTGAATTGTTCCAAAGCTTGTCAACCATCATCATCATTTTTTTTTGTTGAAAAGAGTTTGAACAATTGACCAATTGGGACCAGAAAAAACAGGCGCCAAGAAGAAAAATCTATTTCCACAACAACAACAACAATGAAATTCAAAGATAAAGTTATGTCATTTAGAAATTATCAATGGAAATGAGAATTATATAAATGGAAGAAAAAAAAATGTTGAATGTGTTTGTGTATGTGACAAACATTTAACGAAAAAACATAATGATAATGATTATCATTATAACGTTGTTGTTGTTGTAATTATCAATAAATAGAAAAAACATATATAAAAACTACAAAATGATAATAGCAATTCCCAACAGTAGCTAATTTTTTCGTACACAAAACAGCTCATTTGATTCGTGAAAAACATTTAGAAAACAAGGAAAAACTAAAGTGGACATTTGAATGTAAATGATTATATTCTTGTTGTTGTTGTTGTTATTGTAATGATGATTTTGTTTTTCGTTTTCAACAAAATAAAATTATATGACAAGTGGCAGTTTGTAGTGTTGAGTTGATTGAAAAAACGGCAACGATACAAGGAAATGCTTTGTGTATTTTTCCGAATAAAAATTGATTGAAACCATTGCATAAAGAGAAATTGATTTTATGGAAAAAACTGGGGAAAACTGAAACAACAACAGCAATTGATTATGATCGATATCCCGTTTGAAATTGTTCCGTTGGGAGAAATGAAAAGTTTTGAATAATAATAATTTTTGAATAAAGGAAAAAAAAATTTGCTGAATTTGGGAACATCATCCAGAGAAATGGAGATATTCAACAGAAATATTCAACATTATTGAATCTTGGCAAGAAAAAACTTTGAATAAAATTAAAATTGAAAATGAAGAAAAACAACAACAACAAGAAACGAATTCATTCATCAGTAAGCAAATATTTACAACAGCAAAAAAGAAACCGAAAAAAGAGATAAATTTATAAAACGAAAATGTTGATTGAAAATTTTGGTCCCTATTCTTCTGACAAAGTTCAATCATCATCATCATCATCTTGATCAGTTTTTTTTTCATCATCGATAAATGATCAATTTTTCTAGTTTTTTTCTCTCTCTCTCTTCAAAAAATGAAATTATTTATTGATAAATGTACACATCAAAATATCTTTCATTCATTCAGAATTGAATTGAATGAGAGAAAAAGAAAGATGGAAACTTAATATCCATTCAATTCGTATTTTACAGAAAAAAAAAGTAACAAGAAACTTTTTCTTCTCCATTCAACCACACACACAGAGAACATACACAGAAAAAAGGGTTCCATATTTTTCTTGCAAGTTTTTTTTCCAACTGAATTTTTCTCAAGCCACATCAATATGATTATGATGATGATGATGATGACAATGAATATTAGTAGCAGCGGTGGTGGTGGTTATAAAAGTAGAATTTTTCTTTTTTCTTATGAAAATTGAATGAAATAAAAGGATCAGTTTTTTCTGGGTTCTGGTTTCTGGGTTGCAAAAGTTCGATCAAGTTAAAGTTATTTTTACAACCAGAAAAAAAAAAATGGATTTATTATTCAATACACCAGTCGTGGAAGAGAGAAAGAGAGTGAAAAAAAATGAATAAATAGCAAGGGGATCGATTGAATAATTTCATCTTTGTTCCAAATTTTGTACTTTTTTTTGCAAGTTTTTCTTCTGCTTTATAAGCATCATCGTTTGTTCGTTTTCAATTCTTTATCAATGTGTGTGTTTTGTGTAACTTTTTTTTCTTTCTTTCTTTGCCATCCGTTTCCATTTTGATGATGATGATGATGATGATGATGATGATTGTGTATCTTTAATATTACATATAGCTTTAAATTGATTGAAATCAATTTTATTGGTTTGCCAATCATGTTGTTGTTGTTGATCAGTATTCGATTGTCTTGATAGACGTCCATCATTTGCTTTTTCATCCATAAAAGTAGCATTAGCAGCAGCTTGCATCATATGTTTAATTTCATCATTATTTAAACTAATTCCTAATTTTCTCATTGTATTACGAATATCGATCGATGATAAAAAACCATCTTGATCTAAATCAATATTATTGAATGTATCTCTTATTTGATTTTTTTCATTATTCACTAAAATCATTTCATCAATAATTTTATAAAATGTTTCAAATTTTATATTTATATTATTACCAATGACAATCATTTTTTCAATCATTTCATCAATTTCATCATTATTTAATGAATTTAAACCAATTGTTTTCAATAATATTGGTATTTGTTTTGTATCAATTGTATTTTCATTCAAATCATTATCATTATCATCATCGTTATTATTGTTATTGTTGCTGTTACTGTTACTGTTATTATTTGTAAATAAATTAAACATTTCTTTCAATAATGATATTCTTTCGTTCATTTTTTCCGTTGAAATTTCTTCACGATTCTTTATACTTTGCATTCTTTTCTCTTTTCAAACACAAACTTTAAGAAAAAATTTCAAGAAAATGAAAAACAAAAAAATTCAATTCTTTTCAATTTTCTTTGACAACATTTACCACACACACAACAATACAATTAATGTATATTTTAATTATTCATTCATTCAATAATTCAATAATCGAATATTTGTTTGTTTGTAACAATCAATCAATCAATCATTGGTAATGATGATAATGATAAATAAATGAATGAATTTCTTTTTTTGGTTGTTGAATGTAGAAAAAAACCAAACAAAACAAACAAAAAAAATTCTGTCAAAAGAAAGATCTTTCTTTTTTTTTTGTCAATTATATTGATCAATTCGTTCTCTCTCTCTCTCTTTGTTCGTATCCATCAATTGTGTGGTTGAGCGAGTATATTTTAGCCAGAATTTTGTATCGTTTTCTTTTCTTCTCTCACTGAAATTCCCATTTTTTCCATATTTTTTTCAATTATTTGAAACGATCATCATCATCATCATCGACCATACAAAACAAAACATTATTACCTCTACCCAAAAACTAACCCGAAAAAAAGAAATGGATTATGATTAATTAGTTATTGACATATTTTTCCCATCGATTTTTTTTCTGTGTGGAGGAGGGGAGGGGAAGGGTTGAAAAATTACATCAATCTTGCGAAAAAAAATATCCATTTACCGGATACAATATGTGTTTGGTGTGATTGTCTAACTAACACCCACCACAATCACTAATAAATTAAAGGATTTTTTTCCACTTTTTTTCTGTTTGGATCGTTAAATGCAAAGTTTTCTACCTAAAAAAATAAAAACCGTTAACACACACGCATCCATATTTTAACCCTTTTCTCACTTTCACTGATGATGATGATTATCCAATATTATTTTGCTTTGAAAATATCAAATTCACTTTATGTTTTTCTTTCATTATTCAACCAAATGAATGAATGGAAAAAAGTTTTTCCAAAAAAATACCAACCATCAATTGACTCCGTGTGTGTCTAAAGTGTTATTATTAATGTTTTTTTCAGGGTTTCATTTGCCTAATATATAATCGAATGTGCCTTGTAAAATAAAAAAAAAATAAATAATTTCTCTGATAATCAACGAAGCGTTAATAACTTAACCAAACACCAACACAAATGTAACGAATATTTTTTTTTCATTCAACCATTTATTCATTCATTCATTCAATCAATCAATATAATTTTCTGATCTTGGAATTGTTGCTGATGATGACCTATCTCAAGGAGGTAGCCAGAAAAATGAAACCGAAAAGAAAAAATATTGAGCAAAATGATTCAAACATCAATAATAATAAGTAAATTATAATGATGATGATGATGAAGAAAATTACCGAAATCAAATTCGCTTCATTTGAAAATCAAGTGGAAATCTATGTTTTTTTTTTGTCAAACTTATCATTTTACTGACTGATTGTACTGTATTTTTACTACACTATTAAACACACACACAAAACATGTATTTCTGCATTTAGTCAGGATAATTAACATGGGAAAAACAAAAATATTCTGTCTGTCTAATTACAGTATTTAAACGAAGTGATGTTAAATAACAAATTCAAAATATGAATTTTCAATAGAATTTTTCATTTTTTTTCCCGCTTGTTTCTTCTCTCTCATATTTGTGAATCATTTTTCTTCCATTATCATCATCATCATCATATGAAGAATATTTTTCCCCGCTCGGAATTTTTTCTTTGAAGCACACACACGCATCATTGTTTGTTTGTTTTTCTTCCAAAAGAAAAGTGAGAGAAAAATACCAAAAAAGGTTCAACAACAAAAAAATGATAATCGAAATAGTGTATAGAGAGTGTATATCACCATCATCATGATGATGATGATGGTGATGAGAAAAAATAATAGAACATGCTAATGCAATGTGGATATATAAATGAATGAATGAAAAGTCCATAAATCTGCATCTGCATCTGCATATATATCATTTCCTTAGAGTATTCCAAAAAAAACATGTAAAAAAAATGAAAATTTTCATTTTTTTTTCTCCCGATATGGATTGGAACGAAAACAAACAAACAAACAAAATAAAATAAACATTGAGAATGAGAAGAAAATGGATATATGTGTCGTCTATAAGGTCTTTCCTTCCTATATTCATATCTATCAAAATGATGATGATGAGTAATTTTTCATATACAACCCAGAAGAAAAGAAATTCTTGTTTTTTCCGTTGTTGTTGTTGTTGTTGTTTTGAAACCAACCAGCATTCTCCTTGTAAGTAGTTATGAATTACATAACCAACAACAACAACAACACATCATGTTTCTCCCGGTTATATCCGAAATCCAAAAAAAAAATGTATGATCTATACGCTCGAACAACAACAACAAAAGAAATAAACAATAGAAGAAATTATTTACGGTGTGAAAACAAAAAGATGAATAAATAGAGATAAAGAAAAAGATAATAGACAACAGTGTTCCCAAACACGAATTGATTCCAACAACAACAACAACAACCGGAGGAAGGAAGAAAGTTTTGCAAAAACAAAAAAAAAATTAAAGAATCTTTTCTTTCAAAAAAGTTTATGCATTTTTGTTTCTGGAATATTTTTTGCCTATCGAAAAACAACAACAACAACAACAAAAATCTTCATTGATCCAATACACAATGGATTTTCTTTTTTTTTGCTGGGATAACTTTTGGAAAAAGCGAAAAAAGTACCGAAAATTTTCATTACACTCAACACACACAATTTGTCAATTGAAAACAACAACAACAACAAAATGAAATTGAGAACAATACAAAAGGCAAACAAGCGGCAAGACAAGACAAAAAAAACCTCCAATGAATAATTTTAAATCGGTTTTTTTTTCGACATTCATTTCATTCACTTCATTCATTCATTCAATGTAGATTGAATGTGTGATAAAACAACAACAACAACAACAAAGTTAAACATGCATGCATGATGAATATTAGTGAAAGCAGAAAGAAAGAAAAATGTAAATGTTCGACGATGATGATGATTAGGATAAAAACTTGTGAAACACAATGTTCATTGATTATGATTATGTTGGTAGGAAAAACAACAAAAATAAATAAAAACTGCAGATTTTTCATTCAATAAAATAATCAAACAAAATCATGTTTCGACAATATCATCAAAATGATGATACTGATGATAATGTTCAGAATCCAAATAATACCATAGTACCTAATATTAATATAGCATTTTATATTCATTGTAAACATTCATTGATTTCGAATCGATCATTGGATTCTGCATCATCCTCATCATCCGCATCATCCGCATCCGCATCGCTTCGAAATACATTTGAATCCGGTATGTGCATATATTTTCCGCATAATACATTTTACATATTAATATGAAAATTGTTTCGTTTTTTCTTTTTTTTGTTGTTGTTGTTGTTTTCAAATATTTTCGAATTACAAATCACAACAACAACAACAACAACAACAATTCGTTGGTTGTTTGTTTGCGTGTAAACAATCATCATGATGATATATTTGGGCGATCTTATTTGGCCATCTTATTTTGACATCATCACATTTAAATAATGATGACAATGATGTTTTTTTCTTGGGGGGCTGGGAAATCAAATCTGAAATCTGAAATCCAATTTTGAAATACAAACTCAACATTATTATTATTATTGGGAAAATTATTATTATTATAAATAAGTAAACCATGGTGATGATCATAATATTTACAATTGGTCAATCAATTTGATCGAATGGAAACAATCAAATGAAAATGAATTATTTGATTTGTTTGAAAACTGTCAACAAACAATAACAACAACAACAACAACAACAATATCACCATTGATGATCAATAGTGAAAGAAAAATGCCAAGAAAATTCAACAAAAATCCATTATGTCAGTTGATGATAAAAAATTTTTGGGAATGTTTTCGACATCCAGTATTACAATTATGTCAACAACAATCACCATCATCATCGCAATCATCATTGCAATCATCATCTTCGCCGATAATAATGTTAAAGGTTACATTTTATAAAGAATGTGATCGTCAATTATTTTTATCAAAACTTTGTATGAAAAATACTATTATTAATAATGATTATAATGTTTGGAATAATAATTCTCATGATAATCATGATGATGATGATGATGATGATCCACCAGATTATTATTTATTACAAACAGATGTTGGAATTTTTAAAATAACATTATGTAATTGAATATATATTGTTGAAATTATTATAATTATATAATTCCATTCGAAATGTTTATTACAATTTTCTTTTTCCACTAGATGGCAATATAAATTCAAAATAATAAAAAGTCTTTTCGAATCTGAATGTAAAATGATCATCTCGAATTATGGTTGAATTCGATAATATTTTTTCCATTTTTGTTCAATAGAATCAAATTCAAATATAAATCGATCATGTGTACGATCACTTTGTCCTTGCCAGAATTCAAAACGTTTTGGTTGTATATGAAAACCACCCCAAAATTCTGGTCTCGGTATCATAGTGTTGTTGGGAAATTTTTCCAATTCTTTTTGTTGTCGTTGAATTAATGTTTCACGTGAATCAATTGGTCTTGATTGTTCGGATATTCGTGCACTAATCTGTGAAATTTTTGGTCTTGATTGAAAATATCTATCCGATTCTTCGGTTGATGATTTTTTTGCACAACCTTCAATACGTATCTGACGTGAAAGATAATTCCAATAGAATAATAATGCAACCTGTTCATTTTCTTGCTATGAAAATTTTAATAATTAAAATTTTAATAATTTGATTTTTTCAAATTCAATTAACTTACAATTTCAATTCCTTTACGACTTTCATAATTGGTAAAAAATGTAAAACCATTTTTCGGATCATATCCTTTTAGCAAAACCATTCTTGATGATGGTCGACCATCTCTGATTAAGAAAAGTAAAACAAACAGAATAAATTACAAAACAATCAAATGATGATAAACTAACTTTGTTGCTGTTGACAAACAAACAGCATTTGTTTCAGTCCATTTATCATCCGGTGCTTTTTCTTTGGCCATTTCAAACCAATAATGAAATAATTCAAATGGATCATCAATTATATCATTTTCATCAAGAATTTGATGTCGATCAGAATATTCTTTACGCATTTCTTCATTTTAATAGATTAATTAATTAATCAGTAAAAAATTAAATTCTAACTTACTGCTTAAATCGGCCGACATTGTTGATTAATTTTAGAAAAACTCAAGAGAAAATTTCACTTTTTCTTTCCAAAACAAATCAAATGAAAATCAAATGATTTAGTTTTCATCCAGACGAATGAAAAAAAACGAACAACATTCACAAACTAACCTATATATAAAAGTTAGTCTATCAATTGAATTTACGAAAAAGCAAAAAATCAGGAGATATTTATAATTCGATTTGATAAATAACCGAAATTTTTTTTTCTATTGAAATCAAACAAACCATCATCATCATCGACATCATAAATTAAAGATTAGACAACAAAGATTGAAATAAAAATGAAATAATTTTTTTTATTAGTTTTTTTTTATAATAATTTTTTTTCCAAAACAAATCAAAAATGACAAAAATCGAATGACAAATGAAATGGATTATTTTTTTTTTTTTTAAGAATTTAACGTGATGAACGAATCGATGATCGATGTTTTCTTTTTCGAATTGTTGTGGTTGTGATGATGATAATGATGGAGGGGGACAACAAACATTGAAAATGGAATGAAAAAAAAATTTGAAAATCCTAATTTTTTTTTTGGTGAAGAGAAAACAATCAAAGGAAAAAAACATTGTTGTTTCTATGACATTTTTTTTCTAAAATAATCAAAAGAAGAAGAAAATGAAAATGAAATTTCAGTCAGAGAAACAAACAAACAGCGAAAAAAAAAATATATAATGATCACATATGATAAGAATTCGAATGAATATATTCGTTCGAATTTGATTTCGCAGTTTTTCTTATGATGGATGATATATCAGATGTTATTGTCGTTTACTGGCTGGACTCAATTAATTTGACAACAACAACAACAAAAATCACAATCACAAAATGATGATGACGACGACAATGACCAAATGCATCCATCGACATCCTTTTTTGTTGTTGTTTTGTTTTAAAATATATCAATAATATGAATGGGATATGATGAATAAATCATGAAAATTGATGAATGATGAAAATTAAGAATATTTTTTATCAATTAACTTGAAAAAAAAGAATTAGAGAAAAAAATCAATTAAAGAATCACAAAAAGTATATATATTTCATTCAAACATTTTCTATTTTGTTTTCATTTTTCCAAATCTTCAGTTTTACACATTTTGTGTTTTGTTGTTGTTGTTGAAAATATTATGCACACAGACACACATATATGATTAACACACACCCACATGACAATTTAAATAAATTGAATTGGTTATATCAAAATTATTTGGATAGACAAAAAAAGAAAATCAAACTATAAAGTTAAATCATTTCGAAATGGATGACCAATAATAATAATGATGATGATAATGTGTGTGTGTGTGCAATGTATGTGCGCAAATTATTATCCATACCAAACACACACAAAAATGATGTTGATGATCAGAGAGAAAAAAAAACAATATCAAATTTGATGAATGAATGAATGAAATTTTTTTTTTAATTATATCACAAATTTTTTCGATGATGTTGTTGTTGTTGTTGTTGAAATGAAGAACCAGTTACAAGTGAAGTATTATTGCCACCACCACCATTCGCAACTGAATTTTGAAACATTATACCCAATTGTTGTTGTATCGTATAGGCAGCATCTTGTTGATGTAATGACATTTGTTGTTGATGATGATGATGACGATTATAATTGTTGTTATTATTATTGTGACGATAATATTCATTTGATAATGTTTCAATTGCATGATTTGATTTGAATTTCTTATTACCATTATTATTCATATGTTGTTGTAGATTTCTTGATAATTGATTAGTATTATTGTTGTTGTTGTTGTTGATATTACCAACATTGATTAACGATCGATAATGTTGAAGATTCAAATTATTTCTATTCAATATCATATCATTGTTGTTGTTCTGGTTGATATTTGAAAAATCAATTTTTTGTGAAGATTGTTGTTGTTGTTGAGCAAAATTAAATTGACCATCATTAAAATTATTATTATTCATTACATTAGTAGCACTACGTTTCTTGTTCGATTGTTGTTGTTGTTGTTGATTCATATTATTATTGTTACTTTGGTAATTGTTGTTATTATTTTTATTGGCCATTGAATATCTTGTCTGCTGTTGTGGTTGTTGTTGCGATTGTGATGCAGAAATGGGATTCATTAATGATCGAACATTTCTTCCACCAGCAGTTTGTTGATTTATCTAATCAAAATCAAAATTCAACATTAGTGGATCATAATCCTGAACAAACAAACAAACAAAAAATTAATGATCAATATCGAACCTGTAATCGAGATTTTCGATCACCAGATATATTAGATGATGATGGTGTAGAATTCACCGGTTGTAGTTGTGGTTGTTCGGCTGGAGAATAAGCAGCAGCCGTTGAACTAGAACTTGAATATGCACTATCAGGTGAAAAATTTGTCATCAATAATGCTCCTAATGTTGGATGCTGTTTTTGTTGATCAATGGTTGAATTGGATTTTTTCATAACACTCGATGGTGGCGATCCATATTGACGTCGATATTCTTCGGTCAAAATTTTCTGTATCAATTGTGATGATGATAATGATTCACGATATTTTTCACCAATTTGTATCACCAATTTTTTCATATCCATAGGATTTTTTACATCAGTCATCATAGTTTGACACCAATCATCCGGAAGCTAAATTTTTTTGTTATAAGATTCATAAAAAATGATAGGAAAAAAAACCGGATGGCAAAACAAAAACGTAAAGAATAAAAGAGAAAATTCTAAATTTTTTTTGTCAATTTAGCTAGAATTTTCTCACCCTTATCGTTTTGTAACAAGCAGCCAAATAGATTGATACAGCAGCCAAAAATGGTGCAGGATATTCAAGACATAACGTTGTTAATCGATTCAATTCGGATGCAATCTGATAGGCTGCCGTATATAATTCTTGTGTAGTACCTTGAATCGGATTACGAGAATAACTTTCAACAACCAATACTTGAAAATGTGTTACACGTAGATTATCAAATCCTAATAATTGTATCATTAAATTTTCGTCCATTATTAATCGATCACAGTATTCAATGTATTCCTTGAAAAATTCATAAAGAAAGAAAATTCACCATCAATCGCAAAGAATAATTTTGAAAAAAATAACATTCATACCTTATCATCTTTATTCAATTTATGTGATGGTTGTTGTTTGTTCACATAATTATTAATCAATAAATATGATACCTGTATAAGATGATCTTTAGGCAATGGATGATCTTCATATTTACAAGCAAAATATAGCGATGCCATAGCAATGCGTATCGGATCATATTGTCGAAATGATCGTAGCATAAAAAAACGATGAAAATAGACATATGCCGTTTCCTTACAGATGGGCTTCATTTTTAATAATTTAGTCAAATCTCTTATAAATTTGGTTCCTTTACGTCGATATTCAATCTCGTCCGCATAATTGATACCTTGTCGCCTTGATGGTGTATGATTAATAATAAAATCTTCTTTGAATATCCATGATGAATTATAATTGCTATTCATATTATTTAACTGTTCGTTATCGTCATCGCCACCATCATTTTCATCATCATCATCATAATCAATATCATCATGTTCAATCACTGGTCCATATCCACAAGTTGATTGTTCATCCTGATCTTGATCACCCGATTCATTTAATGACAATAATGATTGATTAGTTGAACTATTATTTGATCGAAAATCATCATCACCAATTATTCTTGATGGAGCCATTTGCGAATTATGATGATGATGTTTATGATGATTTAATGATTGTTGTTGTTGTGAAATGGCCACTGCTGAAGCGGATGTTGGCGGTATTTGTAAAAATGATTCAAATGCGGAATGAAATTGTTGTTGTTGTTGCTGCTGTTGATGACCATATTTAATTTGCTGTTGTTGATGCTGTGGATAATGTCCTTGTTGCTGCTGTTGATATTTTGGTTGTCGATTCAATAATGATGATACATTCGTTTGATGTGAATGATGATGGTGTTGTTGTTGTTGTTGATGATGCATCTGTAATGTGGATAATTGCTGTTGTAAATGATGATGTTGATTCTGTAACAACGTCGATGTTGACGATGACGACGATGATGATGATGTTGATGGTAATTGATTATCTAAAACATAATGAAATTTAGACATATCGAAATTTGTTGCTGAATTGACAAATTTTCAACACAACAAAAAAAAAACAAATCGAAATTCAAAATTGATTTTGTTTTTCGATAATCAATTGATTTATCGAATCCAGACAGAGTTAGTTAGATAGACAAGAGACGATTAAATTACTATCACAAATAAATTGATTAATTGAGATGAAAATTTTATCTTCTTCTTGAATTTCTGGACAGATTTTTACAGAATTTTTTATTTTTTTTGGTTAATAAAACAGCAACAGCAACAAGACACAAGGATAATCCACAAACATACAGGAAAAACAAACAAACAAACTCACCCACACACCGTCGTCACATTCACATACAAAACACACACACACAGCAACACCAATACCAAAAACGAAATTCTTTTTAGCTATTTTTCTTTTCTGAAAATTTTCGAAACAACAAAAAAAAATTTAGACCAACAATAACGATAAAACGAAAAAAAAATAATTCGAAATCACAACAAATGAAAGGCCAGAAACGAAATTTTTGAAATTGAAATGATGATCAAATTCAATTCTTTTCGATATTGTATTGCATTTTTGTTGTTTTAGTTTTTTTTTCGAAGTTTAATCTTCAAAAAAAAGTTTTTGTTTGGTTGTTTGTTTGAAACCTAATTTGATGAAGGAGAAAATTAGTTAAATTAGTAAAACCCAAATCAAAATCATCAAACAACTTTAGGGTACAAAAAAAAATGCTGAAAATTTAACGATGGGAAATATCATTAAAATGAATTCGATTCCATCACTTACATTATGGTTTCCAGTTTGATGGCTGTATGGATTTAACGATGTATATTATTATCGGATGAAAAATAATTAATTTGGACGGTAATTTTGATGATAAAATTGATTAAATTTTACGGGAAAATAAAAATGCCGACAAATATACAACAAACAGCCAACAAAACAAAAACAACAACAACAAAAAAAACGACGCAATTTTGACTCAACATGAGCATAACAGCTAGGTTCCATACTACTACAACAAAATCTAAATGCTCAAAAAAATATTTGTAGTAGCATGAAAACATTAAAGTGCGGATACCATTCTCGTTTTCCTTTTTGAGTACTGTCATATATGAACGATATCAAAAATGCCGTTAAGTTTTTTTATTTGAATTTCTTCAAAACAAAAAAATCTATTTATCAAAATCATTCCGTTTTCTAATTTGTTCTTGATTAAATCCAGAAAATTTTTAAAAATAATACTCCTACACTGTGTGGATTGTTTTTTATTCTTTCATCAGATGAGAAGAAAAGCTTGAAAATATTTGTATTTAAATAAATTCGATCACTTGTTGAATGATTAAATTTTTCAAAATTATTGTGTTAATCATGCCAACCAAAAAACAAGAAATCAATCCATATTTACCTGAATGGATCCGGGTTCATGAACCAATGAATCATGTTGAATGTATACATTTACTTGAAGAACGATTTATTCAAAGAAGACTAACCAAATTAGAAGTCATTGAACATATTTTATCAATGTTGATCGGTTTTGAATCCGAATCTTTTATCTGGAATGATAATGAACAACAATTCACACCGACCAAATGTTATTCAATGACCAATGTTAATTTACAAACATATCGATCATTTCTTTCAAAATTTGCCCCGATCGGTACGATGTATCGTCGTATGTCAACATTTGTTGATACGGAATATTTTCGTGGTAAAACATTTTTTGCATATCAAAATGTTTTGGGTAAAATTCTTGCTGAATTGATGGAGAAAACTTTACAAGCACGACAACATTTTACTAAATCATCAACCAATATTGATCCGGATAAAAATGTTCGATTAATTTTGGTTGAATCATTTTTAGATTCTGAACAAAATGGTCAACTATTATTATCGATACGAAATCTATATGCTATTCATCAGGAAATCATTCGAAATGATTCAAAAAATCAATCATCTGAATCGATCACTATATCGGATTCATTTTTTCAAATGGAAACTAGTCTTCATCGATATTTTTGTCGTCAAACATTGAATGCTATACATAAACGTTTATCGATTCCAGATATAAGAATTCGTAGTTTAGCATATACAATGTTGGATCATTGTTTACGAATATTGTTCATATCATTAGAAACGATGCTCAAATCATTAACTTCAATATCGGAAATTTCATCAAATGAATTTCTATTCGAATCAAAATTTCGTTCAAAAAATCAATTATATCATAATGTTTGTAAGGTAACTGAAATGTCAAAATTTTGGCATGATTTTCTTTTCGTCGACGAACAATTTAAATCATTACAATTATTTCAATTTGAATCATTAAATTTAATGTCCGAAGCTATAAAATGTTCATTTGTTTGTCGGAAAAATCATCTCCACATGGATTCATTGAATCGATTTCAATCCATTCGTATTATCGATTTATTTCGTTCGATAATGTTTCGAATGTTAAAAATTAATTGCCAAAATTTTGATGAAAAATTATTTGATATTTTTTGTGATTCCTATGAAACGAATGAATCAATAATAATGGATAATAATAATCTGATTTCAGAATATCAAAAACGACGATTTAAAACATATCGATTACCATTGAATACTTGTTTGAATATAACCAGTATATTGAATGAAGCTTTAAATGAAACATTCGAAACAATAAGTCGTCCTATTGTACAGGAATTTCTACCCGAATTACGTCGCCGTTATCTTCGCCTGTTTAATTATTATACGAATTTTTTTCTATGTCAAAATGTTCAACATACATTACTTTATATGTATTTTTTATTTCCAATATTGAAAGATCAACTTCAACGTGCACGTTATCGTCGTTCATTTTCTGAATTAGATTCATTAATGAAACAAATTCATCGTTCTTATTTACAAAATGATGATAACGATAATGACGATAATGATAATGGTCATAATTATTTTCAACCACATATTTCATTGGCAATTCAAACAGAAAAATTTAAAAATCATTTTAATAATAGTAATAATGATTTTGATTGGATTGTACATTCATTTGATATATTTTATTTTGTACCATCATCATCATCATCATCAACATCGATTATTATTGATAAAAATAATAATATCGATTTATCAAAGAAAAGTAAACGAAAAAACAATATAACAACGACGACGACAACGACCTTTGATGAATTGAATAATTTTTGGCCATTAACACTTATGTTTAATGCAAAAATTAATGATCTATTTAATGAATTATTTCAATTTCTATTACGTTTAAGATATTTTCAATATTTAATTGGTAATGATTTTTTATTATCATCAAAATTTCGTTATAATGATTTAAAGAAAAATATTTATCTATTTCGTTTTCGTTTGGCAAATCTTATATTTCAATTTGGTTATCAAATGGAATATCGTTTAAAAGAATTAATACAACAAACAATAAATCGTTTTGAAAATGATACGGAAAATGTTGAAGAATTTTTTAATGTTCATCAAAAATTTTTAGAAAAATTAGAACAAATTAAATTACGTGTTATAAATTCAGTATTTATGCGACAACAATTTCGTACGATTGCAAAATTTTGTCATACAAATGATTCGGATGTTCAATCATTAACCGATACTATTGTTAAAAATCGTCGTCGTCAATCGATTGTTGAAAATATTAATCAATTAGATCGTGTACGTAGTGAAGATTTTATTATTTAATTTTTCAATTTTAAAATCTAATTAATTAATTAAATAAAATTTCACAAAAATTATTTTAAAAATCAAAAAGTGCTACATAATTTTTTTTTTTGGCTAAATAAAATCGATATTTTTTGTAAAAGTTTTCTTTGTTATTTCGATTATTATCATGATAAATTGAATTATAGTAAATGTTTGTTTGTTTGTTTGTTTCTGAAATGAATTTTAATTAATTTTAATTAGTTTGAAATTCAAACGATTTTTGTTTTGTCATCAATTGATTAATTGACACTAAATTCAATCAATAATGTTTGTTTGGCATCCATTTTTATCTGACCAAGATTAATATCAATACCAATGATTGAATCTTTTGTTTGTGAATCACTATTCACTAAAATAACACGTCTTGATATGACTGTATCTTGATAGGGTAATTCATTCGAATCAATCGATATGGTTTGTTGTTTTGTTTGTTGATTAATTAACAATAGATAGCCATTATCTTTTTTAGCACCACGATATAATGCAAAAATTGTTGATGATCCTTGTACTTTTGGTAATATTGTACGTCCAGCTAAAAATGTTTCCGGATAATCTTGTCTTAATTTTAACATTTTTTCCGGTATAGTTGATTTATTCAATATGGATTGTATATCCGGTATAGCAACTAAATCAAATTGTAATACTGGTGTAACACGTGGCATCATATATATGGCAATTAATGCACCTTCAGCCATTGATAGACCCCATTCACGATTAATACGATTGATTGGATCGGCTGGATGTGATATCTGATATGAACGCCAATGTTTACCAACATTTTCTCTTGTAACTAAAATATCTGATTCAGTTTTATTCTGATCATTCATTGATTTTTGATCATGTTCAATATATGGTGCAAAACGACGTTCAAATAATTCTTTTAATCCTTTTTCTGGATCTGGTTTAAATTCTTTTTGTAAATCTTCCCAAAATTTTGAATCTGGTGCCATATCGAATGATGCTTCTTCTTCACCATCATCGAATGCACTTTCAGCTAATTGTTGATCAGTAATCAAGAATACTTTATTCTGTCCGGCTGTTTTTACCGATCGTTTCATATCTAATTCAGCTTCTTTTGATTTATTCAATTCACCAGTTGTTGGATCTTGTATCCAAATAGCACCATTTTGTATACCTTCAATTTTTGTTTTCATCCATTCCAATATTGTATTATGAATTAATTCACGAACTTTAGCTGAACCATAATTCAATAATGGACTATCATTTGAACCTAATGCAACATATTGTAAACGATCAACATCATATTTATAATATTGTGTTTTAGGTTTTTCATTCGACCAAATATATGCATCTTCATAATCCGATTGATTTGATTTTGACCAATTAAACCAATGAAATGTTTCAGGTGTTTGTTGTAAACGTAATGAAACAATTACTTTAATTTCTTTATCATTTTTAGCTAATGATTGAATTTTTGATCGAAGTACATTAATCGAATCGATAGTTGAATTATTTTCATTTGGTGCATCCATTAAAATGTATGCATCGAATGGTCCGATAATAATAGTATCAACATTTTTATCAGCTAATTCTTGCAAACGTGATTCAACATTATCCAATTTTTGTGATAATTGACCAACATAAATACTACGATTTGTTGGTGGTGTTTCACCCAAATATAATTGCATTATTGATGATTTTTTCCACCATGGTAATGATGCTGTAGCTGGACAACCAGGTGCCATAGCTACAATAATAACTGAACCAATAAGCATTGCAAACCAAATTACCCAGAACAAGATGAATAAAAATGTACGCAAACGAACCCAAAATGGATCGTTAGCATATTTCATTAATTCTTGTTTAGTCATACCAACACCGCTACGAATAGCTGATGGTGAATTTGGTACACCACCATTTGATCCAGTAGGTGATAACAAAACCTGTCCATTAGTTGGATCACGTGGTGCAGTTGCTGAATTGGTGGTTGTAAATTGAACCTAAAAAAATTTTCAAAAAATTCAAAATTCAAAATCGAAAAATTATTCAAAATCGATTCAAATTACAAAAACTTTTTTGAAAAAGAAAAAATATTTACCGAATCAGTTGGTGGATTTAATAACATCCTTGCTTCTTTGTCCGGATCGATTGAATCATCAACTGGTGAATGATCGGGTGAATTTGCCATTTTTTTTCTGTTGCCTTTTGTTTAATTAGATGGAGGAAAGAAAAATTGGATACAGCCAAAAATTGGATACAACAGCTACTTAGTTGTAGTTGTTTGATTTCACCTAGACGCACCGAAAAAAAATAATGGAAAACTAAATTACAATCAAAAACCGTTAATATGAGGATGAACAAACCAGCCAAAAAAACAAATAGTGAAAATTTTTTCGGGTGTTAATTTCTTTTCTTCTTCAGCCAAGATACGACGGAAGTATTGATGTGATGCGATGTTTTTTATTAATATTATTTCACAAGCAAATAAACACCACACACACACACACTCAGGGACAAATCAATGTTATTTATGAAATCGGAGCACGATAAAATAATGAAAAAAAATGTCGTTGTTGTTCAATTTGAAGATGCGATGATATGAAACACGATAGCAGATGATGATGACGAAGTTATACAGACAAAGATAGAAAAACATAAGCAAAAAAAGAAAAAAAGAGTGCTATAGAGAGAGAGAAGGAGTTCGGGCGCGGGCGCCAACAAAAATCTATATAATCATGGTGGTGTGTGGTTGAATAGTCGAAATGAATTTTGTTTCTTTCTCCGAAACAAAAAACCAGATATTTTGGGAGCGTCACAAAACAATATATATAAAAAAACAAACCGACAATGTCTTGTCTATGTGTGTTTGTGCTTTTTTGTCACATTTGAATTATAATGCTGATGTAATAATCGTTGAAAAATAAAATTGTTCGGTTTTTTTGTCTGAACATTGATTTGAGAATTTAGCCAAAATGGACGATAATGATGATGATGATGATGACTGAATGTTAAGTTCATTTTTCTTTGATCATCATCATCACATGATGATTGGTCGTGATCATTTGATGATGATCACGTTGAAACATTTTTTAACTGGATTAAACATGTTGTAACTGGTTTTTTTTCTGGCTCTCTTTTCTCCCCAAATTGTTCGTTTGTTCGAATAATTTGCATGGGAATATTAAAAAAGAACAAACAACGGAGAAAAAGAAAGAGAAAGAGAGGCGGTGATTTTGAAAATCATTTCTTGATGTTGATTACGATAAACAAATGTTGAGGATTTTTTTTCGGTTCTGTTTTGGTTGTAATAAAAGTGTTAATCATTTTTCTAATGGCCATTCATTAATTTTTCAATAATAAAATATATTTCGGCCAAAATATTCAATGATAAAACAACAAAACGATAAAAACATTCCAAATAAATGTAATAGAAATATAATTTTTAAATGTTTTAAAGTGATTTTTGTTATATGATGAATATGATTAATATGAATAATTTCATCATGATTATGATGATTATGATTAGATTGTATTTGATGATTTTTTTCACGAACTTTTCTTGTAAATTCTTGTAATTCGATTTTTTGTATAATACCCGAATTTATTATATAGGAAATTCTATTTAGAAAAAAAAATCGAGAACAAAAATTGACAAATGAAAAATATAAAAGTTTTTTAAAAATAAACTTACATTCGATTGAATTCTTTTGTATATTCAAATGTCGGACGACATATTATTGATGCTACAACGGTTATAAAATTTGTCTCTTGACTTTCCATTGGTACATATAATTGATCTACACCTAAATATTTTTGACTAAGTAAAAGTCTAGCTCGTGCAGCTACAAATGCAACGGACGTTGATTTTTGAATCATTTTGATACCATCTTCATAATTTTCAACAAATTTTAAATATTTACTTATTGTATAAATTGATTTATTTGGATTATCTTGATTAATTATATGATAGATAAAATTATTTTTAATCGTATATGGTATTGTTTGATGTTTACGGCATGATTCGGCCAATTTTTCAATATTATCAATTTCATTTGATTTCGTAATGGTTAATATTGAATATAGATATGATTGATAGATATTTATCAATACAATACTCATAAAAGCAAAACTAAATAGCCAAATTTTTGCCGAATTAATTATCTGATGATCTTTACGTATAGGATAGGATTGTTGTAATA